ACACCGTTCAATCATGGTTATATAAATTACTAGTTCTAAAAATCGAAACCTTTTTGCATTTTTTTTGGATGTTCTGTGGTACGCATTGGATCCAAGGATGTACTCAGTGTAGCCTGAAGAAAAAGTAAATTAATAATAAACTGCTTGCGGTCCTGTGACACGGAAACTATTTCCTTGCTAAATAGCACAAAAACCAGCTATCGGCTTTTAACTTGATTTTAGCCTGACTTTAGCTTTCGCTCATTTTCTCCAGTCACATTTCATTTACCCTGTTTCATATATTTCAGTCTTATCAGATACCTAATGCACCTATACATACCGATGGATTCAAAGGCCTACCAGGCTGTTCTTCGCAGGTCGACATGGAATTTGAAGATGCTGAACAGCCAGATCAGAACCTTGCGTCGGCCAGTTTCATTCCCTTTGTAAATTATGCTGCTAACTTAGCCAGATAATAAGCTCGCGGAAAAAGCCTACCAAGACGAGGGAATTGAAATGGGAGCGAAAAATGACAGATACGCGAATGAAAGAAGGCGGTATGCAATTAGTCAAAATCCATACAAACCGTATGAGGAGGTGAATTTAAAATCTTTTGGTCGTACATGAGTAGGGAACGTTATCCGGAAGTTTCAGCTTTCTAGCTTTTTTCGTTCCCGAGTTAATGATTTCCGCGCCAATTTCCACGTTCCTGTACTTGGGCCCCGGGTGCTTCTAAACACCTGATTTTGGTCAAAACATGAGTCAAGAAACATTCCCCTAAAGTTTCAGCTTTCTAGCTTTTACTGTTCCCGGGTTAGAAATTTTCGCACCAAAATTTCCACGCGCTCGTATGTGGGCTCGGGCATTTCTAAACACCTCATTTTGCTCGTACATGAGTAGGGAACATTCCCTCAAAGTTTCAGCTTTCTAGCTTTTACTGTTCCCGGGCTAATAATTTTCGCGCCAAAAATTTTCACGTGCCCGTACGTGAGCCCCGGGCTGTCCTAAGGAGCTGACTTTGAAAACTTTTGGTCGTACATGAGTAGGGAACATTCCTCCAAAGTTTCAACTTTCTAGCTTTTCTCATTCTCGAGTTATGAACTTTCCCGCCATAATTTTCACGTGCCTATACGTGAGCCCCGGGCAGTCCTGGGCAGCTGAATTTAAAATCTTTTTGTCATACAAAGATAGGGAACATTCTCCC